CGGATTTTTCCCAAAGAAAGTAGCTTCTGTTTTTTCTGCTAACCCGACTTTGTCTGGTTTTTTCGTCCCGCCCTACCCAACCCTGGAGTGTTGCACTGGCATTCTGCATTATTTTTAATTTGATGGCCTGTCGTGTCGACAATCATTGTTAATTTATGTTTTGGAGGATTTATGGCCTGTCGGCACGCAAAGAAATTGCACATAGTTTATCGCATCTTTTCTAGACAGCAGCATTCTGATGATAATCTAGTATAGTTGTCGCTTAATTGATTTTAGATGAATTATGGCCTGTCAGACAGTCATCATTTTGGTTCTGGAGTAGAAGTGGCCTGTCGGGACGACAATCACAAAGAAATTGTCTGGTATAGTTATTGCTTAGTCGTTTTTAGATGAATCTAGATGAGTTATGGCCTGACGGATGAAAGTGAGTACTAAAATCATATAAGCTATAAGTGGCCTGTTAGAATGACAGTCACAAAGTAATTTTCTTGCATTGTACTTAGCATTTTGCCTAAATTGTTATAAGAGGGCTAAGAATTTTTTCCGGATGGAATTGTCTTCTTATTTCACTTTACGATAGACAGTAGCATATAGGAGATAATCTAGTATTGTCATTGCTTAGTTGATTGTAGATGAATTTTAGATGAATTATAGCCTTTTGGACGACAGTCATAATTATGGTTATGGAGAGAAATGGTTGAAGTCAGGAAGAAATTTTTGCTTTATACGTAGCACATTGTCTAGATTATTAGAAGAGAGTTAAGATTTTTTTCCGGGCAGAATTGTCTAGTTTTTTTTTTTTTTTATCTCTCCCTACACGGCAGACAGTATTATTTAGAGGTAATCTAGTATATGGCCTGTCGGATTACAGTTTGTCGGAACAAAAGTTATAAGAATTCTTGCATTGTACATAGCACCTTACCTAGATTTGTTAGAAGAGGGTTATTTAAGGGTTTTTTTTTACAGATATATTGCTTAGTTGTTTTTGATAAATTTATATTGTATTATAGTCTGTCAGATGACAGTTATAATTTAGTTCTGGGGTAGAAGTGGCCTGTCAGGACGACAGTCACAAAGAAATTTCTTGTATTGTACATAACACCTTGTTTGGATTGTTAGAAAAGGATTAAGGATCTTCCTGAATAGAATAGTCTGTTTTTTTTCGTGCCGCACTGTACAACAGAACATTTAGAGATAATCTAGTATAGTTATTACTTAATTAAATTTAGAGAAATTTAGATAGTCAAAATTATGGTTCTGAAGTAGAAGTGGCCTGTCAGGACGATAGTCACTCAAAGAAATATCTTGCATTTTATTTTTTTTAGTTGTTAGAAGAGGGCTAATGATTTTTCTAAATAGGATTGTCTGGTTTTCTTTTCACCTCACCCAAACGACAGACAGTAGCATTGGTTAATCTAGTATAGTCAGTGTTGTACATGAAATTTGTCGAAGCAAATTATTGGACATGGACAGTTCATGGACACAATGTCCAATGTCCATGGACATGGACATGCCCGTATTTTTATGTTCATGGACATGGACATCCATATTTTTATATGTCCATTGACAACACTGAGTATAGTTGTTGTTTAATTGATTTTTAGATGAACTATGGCTTGTTTGGTAATAGTCAGAAGAAGCCTGTTGGGATAACAGTCACAAGAATACTTGCATGATACATAACAGATTTCAACTGTAGAAGAGGTTGAGGATTTTTCATCCCACCCTATACAATAGACAGTAGCATTTAGAGAATATTATATAGTCATCTCATAGTGAATTTTAGATGAGTTATAGCCTGTTAGACGACAGTCATAATTTTGGGTTTGAAGCAGAAGTAGCCTGTCAGATGACAGCCACGAGGAAATTTTCTTGCATCGTACATAGCATCTTGTCTAGATTTGTTGGAAGAGGGTAAAGGTTTTCTACAGATAGAATTATCTGGTTTTTTCAGAGGTTATTCTAGTATTGCTATCGCTTAATGGATCTTAGATAAATTATAGCCTGTCAGATAATTTTGGTTTTGAAGTGAAGTGGCCTGTCAGGACGATAATCACAAAGAAATTTTCTTGGATTGTGCACAGCACTTGTCTAGTTCTGTTAGAAGAAGAAATGAGTTTTTTCGGATGGAATTGTCTGGTTTTTTTTTTCATCCCACCCTATATGATAGATAATAGCATTTAGAGGGTTTAGTATAGCAGTTGCTTAGTTGTTTTTAGATAAATTATTGCCTGTCAGACGACAGTCACAATTTGAGTTTTGAAGTAGTGATCTGTTGAGATGACAGTTACGAAGAAATTTTCTTGCTTTGTATATAGCACCTTGATAGAAGATAGATAAGAGTTTTTTCCAGAAGGATTGTCTAGTTTTTTTTATCCTACCTAGTACGATAGACAGTAGTATTTTGTTTTTAGAAAAATTATGGCCCGTCAGACAATACTCATAATTTTAATTTTGAAGTTGAAGTGGCCTGTCGGGATGACAGTCATGAAGAAATTTTATGCATTAGTGCGAATTATGGCCTGTTGGATAACAGTCATAATTTTGGTCTGATGTAAAAGTGGCCTGTCAGGATGGATGATAGTCACAAAAAATTTTATTAGAATAGAGTTAAATTTTTTCTAGATAGAATTGTCTGGCTTTTTCATCCCTTCTATACGATAAACAGCAGCATTTAGAGGATCATCTGGTATAGTTATTGCTTGATTGTTTTTTAGATGAATTATAGTCTGTCGGATGATAGTCATAATTTTAGTTTTGAAGTTAAAGTGGCCTATCAGAACGATAGTCACGAAGAAATTTTTTTGCATGTGTGTGAATTATGGTCTGTTGGATAACAGTCATATTTTTGGTTTGGTGTAGAAGTGGCCTGCCAGGATGACAGTACAAAGATTCTGTTAGAAGAGAGTCAAGATTTTTTCCAGATAGGATTGTCTAGTTTTTCATCCCATCTGTATGATAGACAGTAGCATTTAGAGGATCATCTGGTATAGTCATTGCTTGATTGTTTTTAGATGAATTATGGCCTGTTGGTTGACAGTCATAATTTTGGTCTTTGAAGTAGAAATGGCCTGTAGGATGACAGTTACGAAGAATTTTTTTGATATTTGTGCATTTAGTGGTGGCCTATCAGGATGACAATCAAGAAGAATTTTTCTTGATTTTTATGCATATAGAGGTGGCCTTTCAACATGATAGTCACGGAGAAGAAGTTGTATTTGGTACAGAGCACTTGTATAGTTTGAATTGACATGTTAATCAAAGGGGACTAAAGGTTTTTTCTAAATAAAGTGTCTAGTTTTTTTATCACACTCTTTGCATATTAGAAAGTCATTGGATTTTAGGCCAATTGATTGATACTTTTGATTCTGTACTATTATTTCCACTTGTCCATCCTTGTGCAGTTTTTTGCGGGTCACATGTTTGACACCAAGCTTCTGAAGTATTATATCT